TTTGCCGAATAAATTCTATCTAAAATATGCAAAATATTATGATGATCCCTATATGTTAAAATCAAGATAAGTGTGGACAGTTAATGTATAGCTAAAAGGAGCATGCTATACGTATGTTTGAAGTGAGTTTCGTAATAAAATTTTGTGATGAGGTCATCAACATTTTATGAAGGAAACATATCAATTTGAGTAGGTGTAACACTAATTACAATGAGTACTGTATACTCACATTTTCGGAAAAATAGGGCGAGCCATTCTCATTCAGCTCTCAGCGATCAAAAAACTGAAAAATAAAAAGGTTCAATTATCAAAAATCAAAACTCCCAAAAATCTCAGATTCTCAAATCATTAATTCCGCAAAATACTCAAACCACCAAATCCTCAAAATCTTCAAAAGCCAAATCCTCACATCAAATCTTCAAAATCCTCGGATCCTCAAATCGCCAAATCCAAAAAATCCTCCAATCACCAAATTCTTAAAACCCGCAAAACCCTCACATCCTCAAAATCTGCAAATCATCAAATCCTCAAAATACTTAAATGTTCAGAACAAAAAATTCCCAACCCCTCAAAACTCTCAAAACTTCAAATCGTCAAAATCCTCATCCTAAAATCGCCAAATCCTCGAAATTCTCAAATACCTACTCCAAATTTTCAAATGCTTAAAATCCTCATACCTTCAAAATCCTCCAATCCGTAAATCAAATCTTCAGATTCCCGAAACACAAAACCCTCAAATCACCAAATCTTCAAGTCCTAAAGTCTTCATATTACTAAAATACTCAAAACCCCAAATGTTCAAATTCTTCAAATCCCCAAAATCCTGAGATCACCAAATCTTCAAAACTTCTAGTCCTCAAAATCCTCAAATCCTTGAAGTTCTTAAATCCTCCAAATATTCAAATCCTTAAAATTTTAAAAAACACCAAATTCTCAAAATCATCAAATCCTCAAAACCCGCAAAACACCAAAATCAATAAATCTTCAAAACACAAAATCCCTAAATTATCATCTCCTCAAACACCAAATCATCAAAACCACCAAATCCTCAAAATTCTCAAATGCTCAAAAGTCCCAACTCCTTAAATTCTCCAAATCACCAAATTCTAAAAATCCTCAAACTGCTATATCCTTAAAATCATGAAATCCTGAAAATAACCAAAAAATTAAATCTTAAATCCTTGAACCCCTCAAATCACCAAATCTTCAAAGTTTTAATTCCTCAAAATTCTCAAATGTTCAAATCCTTGAAATCCCCAAATACTCAAAATCCGAAAATCACCAAATTCTCAAAAAACCAAATCCTCAAAATGCTCAAATTCTCAGAACTGCATATTCTCAAATCCCGAAAATGTTTAAAATAATCAAATCTTCAAAATTCGTAGATCACCAAATGCACGAATTTTGAAGATTTGATTATTTTAAACCAACCCTTAAATCCTCAAAATCCCCAAAACACCAAATCCTTTTGAATCAAAAATTTTCGAAATTGAAAAATTAAAATATGGAAAAGTTGAGAAATCGAAAAATCGAAAAACTGAAAAACCGAAATAAGCCAAAATCAAAAAATCGAAAAATTAAAAATTGAAAAATTGATGAATCAAGAAAGTGAACAAACAAAGCATTGGAACCTCCGAATCTCGATAAATTGAAAAATTAAAATATTGAAAAACTGAAAAATCGAGAAATCTAAAAATTGAAAAGTTAACATATACTTAGTTTAAAAATCGAAAAACCAAGTTAGCAAAAAATCGAAACAAAAAAATCGTAAAACAGCAAAACTGAAAAATCGCAAAATTGGACAACAGAAATACTGAAGAAAATCGAAAATTTAAAACATTGAAAAATTAAAATATCGCAATATTGAAAAGTCGAGAAATCCAAACATAAAAAAACTTCAAATTTGGATACCTAAAATTTAGAAATGGAAAAACTGAAAAATCAAAAAATCGAGAAATTGAAATTGCAAAATTTAAAAAATTGAAAAATTGAGTAATTGAACAATGGAAGCATCGAAAGTAAAAAGTGAAAAATCGAAAAGCCGAAAAATCGAAACATTGAAAAATTGATAAACTAGGACATCGAGAAATTGAAAAATCAATGGATCGAGAACTAAAGAGTCGAAAGTTGAGAAACCGAAATAGGCCAAAATCGAAAAATCTAAAATTTAAAACTTGAAAAACTGAAATATCGAAAAATTGAAAAATCGAGAAATCAAAACTACTTAGAAACTGAAAAATCGGAGAATCGAAAAACTGAAAAGTAAAAAATCAAAAAACAGAAATCGAAAAAAACTGAGACATCGAGAAATCGAAAAATGAAAGGATAGAGAAATAGAGGACTCGAAAAGTCGAGAAGTCGAAAAATTAAGAAACCGAAATAGGCCAAGATCGATAAATGGAAAAATTAAAAATTGTCGAGAACTTGAACAATCAAAAAATCGAAATATTCGAATCGAGATATCAAAAATTTGAAAAATCGAACATTTAAAAATTCGGAAAAGAAGAAGAATTGAAAGCTTGAGAAAATATAAAATCCAGAATTTTAAAAGTTGAAAAATTAAAATATCGAAAAGTTGAAAAATTGAGAAATCTAAGTATAAAACAGTCGAAAAAATGAAAATTCTAAAGTTAAAAACGGAAAATTGAAAATTCAAAATGTACAAAATCAAAGAACCAAAAAATCCAGAAGTCAAGAAACCGAAAGGCGAAGAATCAAAATGCTGAAATATTGAAAAACTCAAAAATATAAGAAAAATTGAAGAATCGAAAAATTGAATATTCTCAAAGCTGGAAGAAATATCCAAAAATTGAGAAATTAAAAAATTAAAAAATTGAATTATTTTAAAAAAGAAAATTTGGAAAATCGAAAATTTTAAAATCGGAAAATTGAAAAATTGAAATATAGAAGAACTGAAAAGTCGATAAATCAAAAAATCTAGAATTTTAAAAATTGAAAAATTAAAATAAAAAGTCGAAAAATTGAGAAATCTAAGTATAAAACAGTCAAAAAATTTAAAAATCCAAAGTTAAAAACGGAAAATTGAAAATTCAAAATGTACAAAATCGAGGAATCAAAAAATCCAGAAGTCAAAAAATCGAAAAAGCGATGAATCAAAATCTCAAAACTGAAACATCGAAACACTCGATAATAAAGAAAAATTGGAAAATCCCAAAGCTGCAAGAAATATCCAAAATTGAGAAGTTAAAAAATTGATAAATCGAAATATTTTAAAAAAGAAAATTTGGAAAATCGAAAATTTAAAAAAGTGGAAAATTGAAAATTGAAAGGTCGATTAATTTAAAAATCTAGAATTTTAAAAATTGAAAAATTCAGAAATTGAAATATTAAACAGTCGAAAAACTGAAAAATCAAAAATTTAAAAAACGAAAAACTGAAAATCCAAAAAGTAAAAAATCCAGAGGTCTAAAAATCGACAAATCCAAGAATCGAAATACTGAAAAACTGAAGAATCGAAATATTGAAATATCCCAAAATTGAAAGAAATTCAAAAATTGAAAAATTAAAAATGTGAAAAATTTAGAAATCGAAAAAACAAAAAGCAGTTTCGAAAAATCTAAAACTTAAAAGCGTCCAAAAATTGAAGAACTGAAAATTTAGAAACTTCAAAATTGTGAAAAATTGAAAAATAAAAAATCGAGAAATCGAAAATTTGAAGAACGACAAAATTGAAAAAGCTCAAAACTGAAATACTGAAAAATTGAGAAATCTAAAGTTGGAAAATCGAGAAATCGAAAACCCGAAAAATCCCAATATCGAGGATAAAAATTCAAGGTGTATTCATAAACCACAAGTTCAGGAAGACGCTAACGCTTAAATAATATTTATTCGACAAATTGTAAGATGAGATCATCAATTCCTGGGAGACATGAACATATTATAAAATGTTGTTTTTTTCCAAGAATCTTAATGCTTAAGATAAAAACTCAACACGGATTCATAGACCACAAGTGTAGCAGGGTCCTATTTTATAAAATTTAAAGAATACTCACTATTGTAGATTTTGGAGATGACGTCATCCCATTATTGGTCCGGATGATTAGGTAATTTTTGGTTAGCGTATTATTTTCTACACGAGATTCCTAATATATATACACATTCGTATATATAATTTGACAACAATCGATTCAGTAGTTTCGGAGATTGTATGTCTAATAAAAATTGACACAGACGACAGAGAGACAGGCACACGACAGAGACGGAAACGGGAGCCCTACTTTTTCCCAGTCTAGGGGCCATACAATGTCACCATCTACATGTTAATTATAATACAGATAAAATTTTGCAATAATCAATCCTATAATTTCGGAAATTATCTGTCTAACAGGAATTGACACAGAGGACGGACAGACAGACAGACGGAAACGGGAAACTTATATTATTGTACTCACATCAAGAAAATATGAAAGTAGTCAGTCGTCCGAAGGAGAAATTAAATTGCAGAATTTTTAGAAACATCTGTGTTTGTTCATTTGTACTTCACGGACCAAGGAACTTCAGTCTAAATAAATTTAGACCAATTTTTTAATTGAATATGTACGTTGTTGTCTAAATTATAATGCGAAAAAAAACTTTAGTTTTTCTGAATTCCAATTCTATAAAATATCTAGCACGTAGTTTTCGTACGAAGAGTTTGTGTTCGTGGATTCCGTGTTGTTATTATGTTGCGCTTGCTTTTTATAAAGACCGTTCTTAGCAGGTAAGCTTTGCCCTCTTTACTATTGTGAAGTATTACTGATTGTCGCAAATATGTAGAGAGAGATTTAAATCTTTGTTCGGTTTCTTTACCATTCGCTTACTTATTAATTACTTAGCGGGCTTAATTTAACTTACTGAACCACGTCGACTAGTTTTTAACGTCTGTTCAACAAATTTAACTTCAGACGAAATTCCTCTTGTTACAGTATTTATAAAAATAGTGAAAATAAAAATCAGTAACACAAGTTATAAATTTTTATTTTGCATCATATTTACAAGCTGTTGTTTCCTACAAATTCACTTTTATTCCATATTTTTAAATTTTCTGATTATTTACAGCAGCGATAAAGTTAAATTAATGACGAATGATATTTCAAATCTTATGACGTGTCAACTACTAACAAGAGATAATATTGTTATATAATGAATTACAAAAACAGAAGCCAAAAAAATGACCAGTAATAAAGAAGTTTAAATAATCACATTTCTGTACACTTTTACTACAACATTTAAATATGTACACATTTTATAAATAATAAATTGTACAGTTTACGTTACTTAAGTAATTAAGTTTTATCATTGCGTCTATACATAGTATATTTATGTAATTGTTTTGTGTCTATACTTACATAAATTATACTGAGAATCGTTCTAAATTACCAGAAATATTTAACCTATTCAATAAATATTGCAACATTACAATCACACGTAAATTCATTAACTAAATGTCTTTGGCCTATATTCAAGTAAAGGTGAAATATATGAGTTTTCCAGATAACGATTTCACCTAGTCCAGTCCTCTGACAAAGGAGAAAATGCTGATGCCTGATTCGACATTCTCGCTAAAGAAGTAGAGGAGTTTTCTTGTTTCATTATGAACAAATTGTGCTGCCTATTTAAAACACGGGCTTCATTTCCCATAATGGAATCTATCGAAAAACCGTTTTTATTCTTCTTTTTAATCTCAGTTGTTACAGATAACTCTTCATTGTCTGAAGAAACTGGAGTCACGCTGGGCGGTTGCATCGGCACAGGTTTACATATTGCAGGTTGCGAAATTATACTTAAATGTCCGAGGTTTAATCTGGATAAATCCATAGGAGGCAGGAGCGGTATGCTGCTGGGTATATTATTCGGTAATCCCGGTATATAAGAGTATGGGTTATGTAAACTGGGACTAAAAAGAGAGTGTTGATAATTCTCTTGAGAAAGAAATGTTGCTACCATTGCTGACGCATGATGGTCTCTCAACATTATATTAGGTGATGGACGTTTATATCGCTTTCGGCGTCGTAAAAAACTTCCGTTATCAAACATATCTTCTGCAAGAGGATCCAAAGTCCAATAATTACCTTTTCCTGGATTTCCTGGTTCTCTAGGTATTTTGATAAAACAATCATTCAGAGATAAGTTGTGCCGGATTGAGTTTTGCCAAGCTGGAAATTTTTCGCGGTAGTATTGGAAGCGTGACATTATAAACTCACAAATTCCACTTAAAGTAAGTTTCTTCTGTGGCGACTGAAGAATTGCCATTGTAATTAACGCAATGTAGGAATACGGTGGTTTGATTAGCTGATGCCCATTTTTTTTTACGTGTTTTTCTTTGTTTGGATATTTCTCTTCTGGAGTTTTTCTTTCATCCACCGAAGTTCCCCGAAGATCCAGTGGACTGTCAGAAGATGCGTATCGTTGTTCCAGTAACATTTCAGTTTGTTGTATGTCTGATGTCACCACATGGCGACAGCCATCGTCCATCATCAACATTTACTTTACGTAAACACTCTCTAAATTAAGCGCATCATGTCACTAAATCATTTCGTCTATTGTTAATGTTATTTAAGTATATTTCACATTAAACTCCACTGCAAACAAAATTATCTTACAGTTTTCGTAATTGTTTAAACAAAACACTCGGTAATTTATGAAAACTAGGCGATCCGTTGAACTTCCAGCCTAAATTTTTAAACAAAATTTCAATGAAGATAAAACTTTACGTAGGTTTACTACTTAAAATATGTTTTATCTCACAATCACAATTTATCGTCACGCCCGACTGATTATTTATCAACAAAAAGCAATACGTGTTATTAGAATGAAGACACTCAAGCTTCTAGATTATGAATGCTTTAGATCTGCAGCAGTTGCTATCTGGAAATGTTATCCCAATATTATCTTGGCAAGAACAATGATGGTTCAAGCCACCACATTTCCGGCTACGATGTGAGAAAACAAAGCGGTTGTAGTGGGGACTGATGTCAGTACACGCCTTCAACCCTTAGACACGCCCATTTCACCCCTAAGGTATCTGGTTTATGTTCGGATTTTTACAATCTTGGAGTGGGTTTATTATTTGCAAAGATGTAGATTGATTTTTTATACATGACGTCCGTATTAGCAATAGGAATTTATGCTGGCTAAAAGGCAAATTTCCTTGCTGTGAACAGATTTTAGTAGAAAATTCATCTATCGAGATACAAATTTATCTTTTAACTCGTTTTCATTAACTTAAAAGTGGGAAAATTTGTGAAAATTTAATTCATAAATACAAACTTGTCACAAAGCACTTCAACTTATCCATTGCCGTAGATCTCGTAAATATATAGGCCACTTTTTTACTGCTATAGCGATATATTTTGACAATATGACGTTGGCGTCACGTAGTAAACCTATACTTTTTTAAACACAACATATATATTTTTTTTAAGAATTTTGACAGATCATTCAAGTTTTTTTCACAATTTGTGTTTTGTGTTCTATCTATACGTATTACCCAATGATGCTTTACAATTATACAGCGTGATTTTGTAAAACTGCTATTTAAATAAACAATTATATTTTTTTTAGTTATGAATTATGATGTTCCGAGAAGTAGATATAATCTGTCTTAAACAAAACATTTAGTTAGAACAACTATATTTTTACAACTGTGGTGTGAGTTTGCGCAAGTAATTTTGTGACAAATTCATTTAATCTCCTGTTTTTGTTATAAGTATTTAGTATTTTACTGTGTTTTCATTAGATTTAATGATGTTTTAAAGTAACTAACTCAAAACATTTTGTTCCATTGTGACTTAATAATTTTAGTTCTCTGTTTTGAGGAGGCAACTCATTCAGCCCCGTAGCTAGAAAACTTATTCAGGGGGGGCAAGTTTGTCGACAGAGGGGGCTTCATGTAAATATTTATATTTTAATAATACACTCAGATAACTACTTTATTTTTTCTGAGTTTTTATATTTGAAAGAACATTAAAATAATTGGAAACGTCGATTTTTTACGCTAAATTTTCGTAAAAACCTGTCGAAGTCCAAAAAATTAGTACGGTACTTGGTTAAAATGCTGGTTAAAACAGAGAATATAGATTCACAAACAGCTGTACTGCATCCAAAAATTTGTGTAGTGACCATATAGGTAACATCCAATTTGTTTGAGTTTATTTTTTTGCATGTTTAGTACATATTTTAAAAATCCGACTTCGAAACCAAATATTTCGAAAATTTTGGTACGGAACCATGAACTCGTCATGTTTTTTTAAACTCGTCGAAATGTGCATTTCAGAATTTTTTGTCAACTTTAACAAAAGCTCAATTTTTGGAAACCCATATAAAATTTTTGACTTTTCCCAAGCATTTTCGAAAATTACCAAAAGAATTCCTTTGTTCATCTCGATTTCCAGAAATCGTTTTGGATTCAATTTTTTTGAAAATTCTAACTTTTTTTCCAGAATCGACGGGAGAAATATGGCAATTTTTGAGAACCTGTGTCAAATTTTTGACTTTTTTTCAAGCACGTTCGAGATTACCAAAAGGGATTCCTTTATTGATTTCGATCTCCAGATGTTGTTTTTGGTTATTTTTTCGAAAATTCGTACAATTTTTTCACAATCGCCAAAAGAAATATGGTAATTTTTGAAAAATTTTGAAAATTCGAGCTCGAAACCGAGTATTTCGAAAATTTTGATCCGGAACCATGAACCTGTCATGTTTTTTTAAGCTCGTCCAAATCTATATTTCAGAATTTTTTGTCAACTTTTACGAAAGTTCAATTTTTGAAAACCCATATAAAATTTTTGACTTTTCCCAAGCATTTTTAAAAATTATCAAAAGAGACTCCTTTGTTCATCTCGATTTCCAAAAATCGTTTTGGATTCAATTTTTTTGAAAATTCTTACAATTTTTCCAGAATCGACGGAAGAAATATGGGAATTTTTGAGAACCTGTATCAAATTTTTGACTTTTTTCAAGCACGTTCGAGATTACCAAAAGGGATTCCTTTATTGATTTCGATCTCCAGATGTTGTTTTTGGTTTTATTTGGTTGAAAAGTCGTAAAATTTTTCAGCAATCGCCAAACGAAATGTAATTTTTGAACTTTGAAACCGAATGTTTCGAAAATCTTGATCTGGGACCATCTACACCTTGTGTTTTTTGACTGAGCTCGTCGAGATCAACATTTCAGATTTTTTTGTGGATTTTTAGTCAACTTCAACAAAAGCTAAATTTTTGAAAATCCATAAAATGTTTTTGACTTTTCCCAACCGTTTTCGAAAATTAGCAAAAGGGATCTCTTTATCGATTTCGATCTCCAAATGTTGTTTTTGGTTTTATTTTCTCGAAAATTTGTACAATTTTTCCCAAGCCGCCAAAAGAAATGTAATTTTTGAGAAATTTTGGAATGTCGACTTTGAAACCGAATTTTTCGAAAATCTTGGTCTGGGACCATCAAGACCTTATGTTTTTGGATTAAGCTCATCGAGATCTACATCTCGGAATTTTTTGTTGATTTTTTGTTAATTTCAACAAAAGCTCAATTTTTGAAAATCCATATACATTTTTTGACTTTTCCCAAGCATCTTCGAAAATTAGCAAAAGGGATCTCTTTATTGATTTCGATCTACAGATGTTATTTTTGGTTTTATTTTTTTGATATTTCGTCGAATTTTTCCACAATCGCATAAAGAAATAACTTTTTTTTAAGTCACTTTTGAGATTTTTTTGAAATTTTAGGTAGAACCCAATATTTCGTAAATTTTGCTCCGGGAGCATGAACATGTTTTTCGATTAAGCTCATCGAGATCTATATTTCAGAATTTTTTGTCAACTCTAACAAAAGCTCAATTTTTGAAAACTAAATAAATTTTGACTTTTCTTAGCATTTCCAAAAATTACCGAAAGTCATTCTTTTATTTATTTCAATCTTCAGATGTTGTTTTTGGTTTTATTTGATCGAAAATTTGTAAAATTTTTCTAGAATCGTCAAAAGAAATAGGAGTATAATTTTTCAGAAATTTTAAAAATTCGACTTGGAAACCGAATAGCAGCAAGACCTTATGTTTTTTGACTAAACTCGTCGAGATCTACATCTCAGAATTTTTTGTAGATTTTCAGCCAATTTCAACAAAAGCTCAATTTTTGAAAATCTATAAAAAAAAATTGACTTTTCCCACGCATTTTCGAAAACTAGCAGAAGGGATCTTTTTATTGATTTCGATCTCCAAATGTTTTTTTTTTGGTTTTATTTTTTCGAAAATTCGTACAATTTTTCCAGAGCCGCCAAAAGAAATGTAATTTTTCAGAAATCTTGAAATGTCGACTTTGGAACCGAATTTTTGAAAAATCTTGGTCTGGGACCATCAAGACCTTATGTTTTTTGATTAAGCTCATCGAGATATACATCTCAGAATTTTTTGTCGATTTTTTGTCCATTTCAATAAAAGCTCAATTTTTAGAAAATCCATATAATATTTTTGACTTTTCTCAAGTACCTACATAGTAGGCTATGGAATAAAATGTGACATGTTCATTTTTTTATACGGTCAACATCAACGGTAAGGTGATATTGCCAAATAATATACCCTGTACGAAAATAAAGGTGGGGCGGGTGGGGCCAGTTAATATGCTTCGGCAATCGGCATTATATTGAAATTTTATTACTAATTTGAAATTTATAATATATAAGTCTTCCAGGGGGGGCAACCACAACTGCTAGGGGGGGCTCAGCCCCCTCTTGCCCCCCCGTAGCTACGGGGCTGAACTCATTCAAATCCAACACATTTCTACGTGAGATTGTTTCGATGTATAAACATAAACAATCAAAGTTAATAATGTAGATTGATAATAATACACCCTTTTCCGTTGGTTATCTGTTTTGAATAGGTATATTTCATAATGTCTGTATGTCGGTGGACCGCGTTCCCTTGAAATTAGCCCCCATGGGGTAGGAGCTGCGGGGTATCATTTACGTCACTGACTTTAATTTTATATAGGTTATCATAAAACAAAAATCGCAAAATCTAATTTTATCATTTTTCAAAGAAGCAGGATTTGTTGGGCTGTACTTCAAGCTACAAATCTGTTTTGTCCTCAAGAATTTAATGTTTTTATTTCGAAATCTGCAGTAATGCAGTTCAACATGTTCCTACTGTCTGTGATTATACAGAGATTTTTTGCTTCCAGAGCGTAAGCTAAGGAAGTATAGTAATCTAGTCCATCGAACGAATGGCCACTTTTATATTTTCTCGACGTTTCATGACCCCTACAGTACGAAAAAAGTAGTGTCCCGTTTCCGTCAGTCTGTCTGTCTGTATTCATTTTTATTTGACAGATAATCTCCGAAACTACTGGAGCGATTGTTGCCAAATTTTGTATGTATATTAGGCATATGATCTAGATGGTAAAACGCTAACCAAAATTTGTCTAGTCATCTCCACCAACAACGTGATGACATTCTCTCAAAAATTTTCATAATAAGGTCACTGTACCCTATATGGCCTACCTAAGCTTTGAGATTTTTTTTAATTTTTGTAAGACCTTGAAATAGAAGAGTAATGGTGGGAATTGAAAGAGGTTACATTTTTGTACATGATTTTCAAATTTTAGACATTTTCAAAATTGTAGGGCCCGACAGTACCCGGTTTAATTAAAGTGTGTCTTTAGGCCAAATTGAGTACATAGATACCCAATATGGCCTGTTTTTAAAAAATCGAAAAAAAGAAATAAATAAGCACGGAAAAAAGTTAATTCACAAACAAATTGTTAATTAGTAGAATTTAAATTTTAGAAAATAACATACCTGAATACTTGTGTACTTGTTCTTTATGAATCCGTCTTTAGATTTTCCCCGAGGCATCCTA